ATATTATATTTATTTTATTATTTAATTGAATTTTTTTAAGTGTGTTCAGGTGGATTCGAGTATGGTTACGATTCACAATTCGGTCCGCTGCAACGTTTTTTTTTCTTTTTTTAGTCGTATGTTGTTGTTGGATTTAAGTCGTGGGTACAGGACAACGTCTGTGAGGTCCGTAAGAGTAAGCGACGAAGTAATCTGTTCAAAATATTTTCGTTTTCAACAGATTTTCAGACTAGCATAATTATAATAGAGTAACTAAAAAGTAAAAATAAGTTCATGATTTTCTGTTTTTCGTATTCAGTCTGAAACAGTCTGAAAACATGGTCTGACCAAAGCCAACTTACAAATAAAAACCTTGTTTTCCTTTTTTTTTTGGAAAAAAGAGTCAACGTCTTTTCGGTGTCGATATACCGCAAGCGACATTTGGATCCACAAAGTAGCCGTGAGTGGCAGAAAAATGCGTAAAAAAGCGCGCATTTATGAACCGCTTGTAGAAATGATTTCGGAGTTATTGTTCTTAAACCTGATCAAAGTAAATAAAAGTAACAGCTAATACATATTCAACTATGCACAGGTCTCCTCTGTACAGAATGTGTTAGTGCATAGTCCACCACGCGGCCCCAATGCGGATTGGCGGACTAAAAATGGTTATGGCTCTAAAATTCCAACTTATACAAACAGCAGACACAACTTAGCTGCGTCTAAAGTGAATATGATTTTTTATTTATTATCTTACCGGATACAAATAGAACAGAAGTCAGTTGTAAAGTTTTCGTAATATCTTAAATAATAATTTAAGATATTACGAAAAATTTACAATTCAATTACTTTTAAAAACTTATAAAAACCAAAACACGGTATAACAATGTGGCCCAATTTATTTGTTTCTTTTATTTGAAATAATTTCTTCGAAATTAAGAAAGTGAAAAATATTAGCGAGAGAAATAAAGGAGACAGGATATTGAAAGTAAACAATTTCCTAAGGCTTTTATGCTTCGAAAGATCTTCATATAATAAGAAAAATTAATAAGGTTATAATATCAAATCCTTTACGTTCATTGAAGCGTCAATTTTCTTGTATAAATCAATGCTTAAAGTTGTTATTTCTGAGAATAATTCTATTGGTAGCCAAAGAGTTTGCCTAATGTTATAGCTTAGTTGATATATTGTTATTAGTAAGCTTAGTTAATTCTGTGGTTGTGTGACTTTAACAAAAAAAAAACTGAACTTAGTTAATGCGCCGATTTGTGCAGTTAAAGGAACTTAAAAATGACGTAAATGTTATCGTTATTTCTGTTAAAAGTTCTAACCATGATTCAAACTGCACATATTGAAAAAAAAAAAATTTAAAGTCAGTGTATTCTACGTCTACGCGGTTTCACAAAAGGGCAGGTCCATCTAGTGAAAGCCCACAACTTCACATAAGACCAACCTATAAAAGAGATTGTGGAATTAAAAGTGACCTAAAAAGTGTTCAGAATTTTTAAATTCTTTAAATTATTGTTTGATTTATATGAAATGAACTAAAATATTGACATTGAAACTTTAAAATATTGTGAGATGTGTGTCGTGTCATGTGCGTGATATTTAAGTCAATCTGAGTTTCGAAATACATTTTATAAGTACCAATTTCCACAAAAAAAAATTGTAAGTTGCAAAGTACGTGACTTCGTCAAAAGTACCGTTTAAGGCCTAACGTTTTAATGAAATGATCATTACCATGAATTAACCGCACCACAAATCACTTACTAAAAATAATATTCAGTGGACCTATAACAAGATATAAATTAATATTTTTATGTATATTTTTTATGTGAAAAGTTGCCAAGCGGGCAGACGGTTCACCTGATGTTAAGTGAATACCGCCGCCTATGGACATCTGCTACACCCGAGGGTTACAGATGCGTTGACAACCTTTTGAAGATTGGGCTCCAGCTACGTCACTCACCAGACAAAACGCGAAAGTATTTTTATACCTCTAGTTTACGCCGGTCTTCTGTGAGGTCGTGGTACTTTCCCGTACGAGCCTGCTGATTCGTGCAACAACCGAGGCTGCTGCGTGGCCCTACCACAGTTTGTATACAATAATTATTAATAAGAAAACTCATTTCAGCAAAAACAAAAACTGAAAAGAAAAGGTTAATAAAAAACCGAGTTGATAACGATTTTTAACTTTACGTTGGTTCCAGACTGGGGATTAAAAACCTTCGTAAAAAAATCTTTATTACTAATAATATCGCAGTTGAATTTACTCTTATTAACATATTACAAATGGATTGCAATGCATAAAATGTCATGTATGTCATTAAATAAATTGTTGGAGAAAAATTATTAGTCAGGCAAATTTTGTAGTAAAATTAATTTGCTATATAATTTGTAACATGTTAAGAAAAACACAAATCACATATGGTCACTATTCCAATAAATATGCTTAGAATAAAAACACATGATGATAAAATTAAAAAAAATATGGCGCATTATTTAAAAAAAAATTAGATATACATTTTTTTCTTACATTATATGCTCTCCTGTAAGGTTATTTTGCAGCATAGCTTTTTTTACTTGCACCTTTGAATAAATCAGGACCAACGTGGATATAGTTTATTATAATTAAAATTATGTTTAGAAATGTGTTTTTTGTTCCAAAATATCTCAAGCTAATCCTCTTATTTCCTTGAAATACAAGCCTGGCACCATTACTATTGTAACATCTAGCGGCAGCTGCGACAGTGACTTTGTATTTTATTCCACGACATTTTTTGATTAATGGAACACTCGCAGAAGGCGAGGGCACTTAGAGAGCGCTAAAACACACTTTCGCAACTTTCAATAGGTCGTTAAGTATTCTAGTTCAATTTACATCCGACACGAAATTGAGGAGTACTAAAATTTTTGGACAGGTAGCATTTTCCATCAGTTTAGTTTATCGTAAAAAATAAGCTATTATTTTCTATAATTTAATTAGTTGAGAGATTTTTTTCGTATTTCATTTTAGATTTTAACTTCGTTTCGTTTCAGTACTGGCTAGCTTGGATTTAATGCTGGCACATAATGTCCGGCCTTAAAACGAAATTGCAACCTTTTAAACTAAGCTCCGCTAAGGGCAGTTGTGGACCGACTTTACATTCCGTTCGAAAGCCATCAACTAAACGATAATGATTAACCATTAACTAACGAATTTGATGCATGTCACATCCTGGTCATGAGTACGGGTGCTAAGTAGTCACGCCACTGAGCTCGTGTCTAACTCCCCCCATTAACTTATTTACTCGTGAGCTGGCATACACTGAAGGGTAGGAAATTCTTGCTCAGCGAAGGTGACCCGTTGAACTTGTCTGACACCTCTACACCTACATATATATATATATATATATATATATATATATATATATATATATATATATATATTATATATATATATATATATATTCTATTCATATAGGTATATATATATTGATTCATAAGGTTTATCTAAGGAGTTTTTTTTTTACCTTTTTTACGATAGAATATCTTTACTTAAAAATTCAACTCAATCACACCAGACATTAATGCATTTGTACTTTACGTTGTCAATACCAATTTCGGAACCTGTTTTGAAATTGCTTTATATCTTATATGTTATATCAGTTTTTATTTCGATTGGCTTCGAAGTAATTTGTAAATTAATGAAATTTTTTTGTAGGATTCTGTCCGAAACCTTGAATTTTTTAAAGACCCATGTGGTATCAATGCGGATTAATATGGTCCACGGAGTTTATTGTCAAAAAGTGCTGGACACTTTTCCAATCAATTATCACAAAATTTCCCAGAATGTATTTTTAAGTAGTGTTACATATTCATTGCAGTAGATTATTTAAATACATATATTACATGTATACATGTGTATATTTGTTAACTAATATACTGGTGCAATTAATTACAAATGTGGTGAATAAATGAAACAAACAAATAGATTCAATGGTTTATTCTCGGTACACTGAAAGCGTTTCTGGGTGCGTTTAGTTTATCCTTAATAGTTATTATGTACATCTTATGGTAGTAACATCATTTATGATCACTTTATTTGATAACTTTACGGGTATGTGTGATTACTAATCAAAATAAATACAGAAACGCAAATGATGTTTCACATGATTTTATTATTTATACTTTCTGATTTCCGAGTGTTATTGTAATTCATCATACATTTAAATTAATCAAGTTAAAAAATAAAACGAGTGTACCGGCCGGCCTAAACGGTCCACCGACACTATAGGTTTAATTCTTATGAGGAGCATAAACAGTTTATATGTCAATTTGCTAGTAGACATTAAAAGTAATAATAGACATGAAAAGTAATAAGATGTAACCAACATAAATGTAAACGCATTTTCTTTTCTTATTGAAATCCACCGAAGACATTTCTTAAGGCAAATGAAAAAATTAACAATCAACACTTGGATAAATACGTCATCTACATTAGACCGTCATTGTTAAAACGTTGCTGTGAAAAGTTTCAGGAACGCGGCAATTCTAGCGGAGAGCGATGCTTTGTGTACATGCATTATAATACCTAACGCTAGCGTAAAAAACAGTGCATTGTCATCGAAACACACCGACATTTTATCTGTCAAAAATATAACATTTCTTTTTAAGTTTACTACAAAATGCTTTTGTTTAATTAGTTTCCTATCTAAAACTAAATTTAGATATTTCGCCAAAAGCTCATCTGCGGCTAGCATTAGAAACTAACCCCATTAATTATGTAATGTGGTGATAATTTTTTTCTTATATAAAACATTACAAAATTAAGAGTTCAATTTTATCTTCTTGCGGAATATCTAATTTTAGGTCATTCCTTAAGAATTAGTTGCGATATTGTCGGTATATTTATACAATTATCCTCGATTATATCAGACATAATCAGTACAATAGTTAAATTTATATCATTACCATCCCGTCAGTCATTTCTGTACGACTAATCACATTAGAAAACGCGTTGAAGTAAGTAAATTAAACAGTTAAAATGTTTTGATTAGAATATGTTCCGACATAGGCGCTGTAAGCTTTGATATGATGTTATCGTCTTTAGTACTCTTCTGTTTTCTATGAACGGAACACTTTTTGCCCTTCATTCCAATTTCAGACTTGTTATGTATTGTCTTTATCTGGGCCGGCTCCAAGATACCACGCTTTTTAAATTTACACGTCTTGATGTAGCAGGCACTTTTCCTTGACTTGTCAATTTTCATCAGGTCTTCTTCTTTCACGCTTTTGCGTTCACCATTAATGAATCTTCTTTCTTTCTTTATGATCTCATTATCATTTTTTATCGGTTCGACTTCAACGATTAATTGAGTGTGATCGAAGCATTTTCTCATTTTCTGGAAAACAAAAGGAAACAATAAAATTTATTCCTTCACTATTTATTTAAATATGAAGTTTCATATTTGTGGAGCTAAGATACTTTAAATTTTAAAAATAAGAGAGAAATTGTATTAAGTAATAAAATGTATATTTATTTTGAAATAAATTAATATTAAGATGTCCTCGTAATGTAATTTCAAATACCCGTGACACAAAAAATGTTAGCTATTAATGTGGATTTTGATGATATTGCCATGTTCTCGTAAAGATATCCGGTTTTTAAATTTATCTTTAAATATTAATACAAGGTATTCATATACATCGAGTCGTTAAAAAAATCCATAATTAATTTTTTTCTTTTGTCAAACTAACTAATTAAGTAAAAAATTAAATTTGTAACATCCTATACAACTACAACTGACTGATTCATAAATTCAGAGACTTTCTCATTCGTTGCCACAGCGTCGCATTACAAGCCTCTCCTTCTAACAGTATGTTTTGTCTCTTTTAAATTCATTCAACCCATTCAGATGCTTTGTGACCTTTACAAATGAACTTTACATTAAAGTTTTATACGTAAGGGTGTTCTAAAATCCTTTGTTTTGGAAAATAACTCTGTAAATATTGATGTTTAAAAAAAGTAAATGTTTAAACGCAATTTTGAAAAGTTATCCTCTATATGTGTGTTCATTTATTGTTGCTATTGTAAAGACACGCTGTATATGTATATATAATGGTGCTAACTTAGCGTACTATTTTCCAATGGAATCTTTCCTAAGGTTTGAACAAGAACAAAAATGTTTACTAGCTGGTGGTAACCACGGTATATTCTTACTGCAGTGGTTTGGATATCCAACTTACTATTGGATTCACAGCCTTACTATAGATTTGAATCCGGCCCTCCAACTCCATTTTGAGCCGCCAATCCCTTAAATACATATGCGCCGCCGCCATACTAGGCCATCCCCTGCGCCAGGTTTGCCATCTATAAAAATGCAGACCATTAGTAACAAATATGTGTTTGTACTACATAATAATCACCATTTATGGTTAAAAAAGTAAAGTGACTACTGAAAATTATGTTACTGGAAAAAGGCCTCCTCTTTTACAGAGGGTATCAGGACATAGTCCACTACGCGGCTCAACTGCGGATTGGCGAACTTAACATATCTTCGAAATGTTTTTTTTTATTTCGTAAATAAGCGTTTCGTTTCCTTGCGATGTTTTCCATCACCGTTGAGCAGGTGATAAAGTTAGCATTTAAAATTAACAATTTTATTGGTGCTGGCACCGGGGATCGAACTCAGGTTGCTCGAGTATTTTAAATTAAAGGCGAGCGCCCGGAGACTGAGCTATCACGGGTCTTATTGTATAGTTCACTAATTTTAATTTATAAATTACAATACATATGTATACTATATACTACTTTTAAAATTTATTTTACAGTTTTACAGGACAGAGCTAACTTGGTTAAGATTACTTTCCAATCCGAAGAAGGAAACTCACCTTGTCAAAAGTTGTAATGTCCTCGACTTCTGTCCTAACTTTCTGTACATCAAAGCAGTGTATCGAAACGTGACAAGATCGCCCCGTACTAGGCTCTCAGTATTTCTGTTTTTAAATGTGAGTCTTGTGGCTTCAAGGTAGAATTTTGATGCTGGTCCAAACAATCCTGTTGTAGAAGTTACATTTTTAATAACAATTGTATCGTGAAAGAGACTGTTATTGATGTATAACATTATCTTGTTGAAAAAAAATAAATAATTAAGAACTATGACCCGAACCAGTGGAGTCTGTGACTTCAACACCTTACTAGTTAACTATTTTAACATAATATTAATAAAAAAATAACATAAAATCTTTCCTAAGACGCACGACAGCGACTTGTCTTACATTAACATGTTACTAGTTACTGAAATCACTTTACCTTTCTCCTTTAGCCAGTTCCCGTACAGCACATAATATTCCCAATTATTCGGCTCCAATTCTACTAATCTTGACAAAACTCTTTGTTTCTCCCGATCCGGTATCAATGTCAGCAGTTCTACGTGGGCTTGGACAAATTGAGGGCGTAATAGCACACATTTTTCCAGCATTCTTATTGCTTGATTAGTGCGTCCATTTTTCCTTAAACGTAACACGTCACGTTATTACAACGAAGTGAATTATGAAGCAATATTTTATAGATGATGACAGTCATAATGTATTGATTTACAGTTTCCGTATTTCTTTTTGTCGCTTTACTTTACGATGTAGACAGAAATAGAGGCTTTAGGATGTAGATAAAAAAACGATTGGTTATAATATAGTTACTTATATAAACAGAAAACTGTTATTGAATATGAATAATAAAGAATTGATAGAGATGTGATAGTTTTGTTATAAACAAGGTTCTACAACCTCGTTATTTACAAAACTATCACATCACATATAAGAGAGCAATACTAAATTAATGACAATAATTCATTTTCGGCTTATAAAGGCTTTATGAGTTGAAAATGTTATGATACATTTTAAACGAACTCTGCCAATACGCGAACTGGGGCCTCTTTGTGAGTTCGTTTTTATTTCCATGTTTAATAAGAAAAAGAATGCTACGTTACTTGTACAATTTCCCGAGGTTATAATGGGCGTTGACGTGGTGCTTGTTGTACTTAATGGCCTGCAGGAAGTGATACTCCGCATTCTCGACACCACTCACTAGGGTCCCGATGTTATTGTGAGCGCTGGAGTACGTCGGCCACAACCTGTTAGTGGAGTGGATACGGCTTTATGAAATGAAGGACGGGGTAAATGCGATGAGTTTTTTTTATCGACGTAATCGACGTCCACGTGTGCAAACAAACAGTTCAAATTTACATTACATTACATTTAAGATGAAACATTACAATTTTTTTTAAGTTAAAGTACATTGCCCTTACTTTAGAATAACATTATCCTGTGTTGTAGGGACGAGTTACAAACATAAATTTCACACGGACAAACGCCTAGATGCGAAACAACTATAGTTGTCCCGTGTGGGAATCGAACCCACGACCCCCGACGCCGAAGCCAATACCTTGGCAACTGTGCCACGGAGTCCTTTTCTAGAAAAAGAGAGGAGAATTTATTCACCGCTGAGGGAATCTAAGCCATAGTCCATATAAACCTTATCCGTGGCTATGTCCGTTACACAAACAATTTCAATTATCGTTTTACCACGTTAATATGAACGAAGGAATTGGTATTGGAAATTTAGTTTTCTTCATAGTCCTATTTTATCCAGTTCGAAGCATTAAAAGTTTATAGAAAAAATGGGGGAAAAGTTTTTCGCCGCTGTGGGAGCCGAACTCGTGTTTTCCGGATGTGCGCCTATGCGCTTTAACTGCTAAACTGAACGGCCGATTGCTACATGGACGAAAATATCAAAGTATTTTTTCTAAACTGTTTTTTCGCGATATTTTTTCGTCATATTTGGCGCCTCTATTGTTATGACGTTTACAGCATACAAACAATTATTTCAAATATCGTTTTACAACGATAATTCTAACCTATTTATTGGTGCGGCAACAATAATAATTCTAACGAGAGATATTTGTGCCACAGCAATAATATTAAAGTAATTATCGATAGTTATCTGATTGTTATCTTTGAGTGGATACCAGTTACTAAAACGTTCAAGGAACGCGAAAATATTAATAATACCCATTCGAATTAGCCCTTCTAGCTATTCCACAACATACAACATGGTTCTGATAAGAGCTATTCGTTGTCAATCCTTTTGCCTGCGATGTAAGTGTTTTGTTGCAGTAACAAAAATGCATGCATTTCCCAATACCTTAATAATTATATATATTATAACATATTTTTTGTCAAGCTCGCCAGCAGATGTTACAATAAAACTTTATAAACTTAGAAGCAAACAAACAGTACAAAAACCACGCAACAGTGTTGAGTGTTCGCTGTTGCATGCATGGGCAAGTTCGTCCGGATTAGGTTAGGTTAGGACCTCACGGTCGTGGTACTAACTTCTGTGAAGAGATCGGCGTGAATTAGAAGTATTATACTTCTGCGTTTCGTCTGGTGAGTCAGGTAGCCGGGGCCCATTTATTAAAAGATAACACGTCTGCAACCCTACGCTACGTGGCAAAGTTCCATTGGCGGCGATTATCACTTAACCAGCTCGTTTGCCGCTTTGTCACATAACAAATGGGTGCGTATACTTATGTAAGCGCGTGAAAAGTTATACTTCTTTGGCATCATAAATAGTTTTTAATTGCATGCAAATAATTAATACAATAACATAATAAAAAAGCTGGAAAAGGATATTATCTAATATATAAAATTCTCGTGTCACGGTGTTTGTAATTAAACTCCTCCGAAACGGCTCGACCGATTTTCGTGAAATTCTGTGTGCATATCGCCCAGGGTTTGCCGGTTTAGCTAGTATAATATAAAATTATGAAAGTGCCATCTACATTCTTTATTGAGAACTGTAACGGGCGAATGTGATTGAGAATATGCTGCCATCTATAAAAAAAAATAAGCGGTTTACGCGGGTAGCTTCAAAGGTGTTACTTTTGTGTTTCAGTGTTGTGTGCGCATCTTAAAATTTTACTCTCATAATTTTTTCATAACGCGCCTAAAGAAGTATAACTTCAAAAATCCCACTTGGCCCAAGAAACATTTCGTACCTCAGAGCTTCTTTGTAGTGTTTGATTGCGTTTTCCTGCTGCTCTGTTTCGCGGAGGAAGTTTGCGAAGTTGTAGTGCAGCTTCGCGTTCTGCGGCAGAGTCACTAAATCGGACCTGGAACAAACGAAACACGTTCGTCTGTGATTCACGCCGGAATCCTTGCGTAACGCTACAACTCGTAACACCGCTCGGTACAGCGCGGCAAACATTTTACGCTTCGACTAATACGTTTTCGTGTCTATATATTTTGATAGTTTTTTTTTTTAATTCATAACTGGCCAGCACGGCTGCACTAGTGTTTTAAACACAAGCATTGGAAAGCCTTGAATGGTGCAATTGGGGATGTGATTAACGTTGCTACCGCCCGTTGCGTGTTGTGTTGATCCTCACACTGGACAAGTATTAATATGTTATATAATAAGTTATTCTGAGTTTCTAAGGGTCGTTCATTCGTAATTTAAATGTTTAGAAACCTAAGTTAAAATGCGTTATTGGCCAGTTTATGAACTATTTTTATAATAACGTTTTTATAATAAAAAAACCCTTTTCGTGAATTTGGTATCCTACAAAGATTATGAAGCGTTTTTACACATATTCAAATGGTGACCGATTTCACACATTGTATATACAAAATATGTGACTTTTTAGTTCTGCGGTACTGTTGAGAAATATAGAGAAAGCCCTGCTTTAGATAATAATCCTATTCTGGAATTGTTATTATCGTCCTTCCCTAATACGTCTTACCATAATAATGTATAGATTGGTGACTTGATTGGTGAATACATTTCCAAACCATGTCAACGCTTCGGTTTCGATGGTTATGAAATAATGAAATTCAGTTCGTAAAATATTCTTTAACACATTTTAATAAATGTATATCTATGCAATAGTCTCTTAGTATTAGACAATAGGTTCCTAGTAAAAAAAAAAACGTAAAGGTTCTTAAATGCTTCTGCAAAATTGTATCAACCCCTTAAACTCTTGTTTCAACTCGTAAATACAAAAAAAGTTCTGAAACTGAAAGTTCGAGAAACTTGTCAAGGCATGTGTCAATATTTCCGTAACAACATTATTTGCATCTTCGCTTGAATTGACATATGATGACAGAAAGCTTTAGCGGGCGAGAATTTCACGACATTATTCCAACGATTTACGTTACTCAGACTAAGATTGTTCCAGATGATTTTTCTGCTTTGTAGGATGTTGTATGATAAATTATTAGCATTTCAAATTTATGTTTCTTGAAATATTTTATGCAGAAAATTTATTTTCGAAAATGCTAAAACTTCTGCCACTTTTAATGAATTCGTAATGTAATGACACACTTGAGTGATGCATATTACTTTTATCGTTTATTCAATATTTGTGTTAACCTAGTGTATGTGTTCTTTAATACAGATTTAAAAACAATAATTAAGTCTAAGTTACCACCTGTTCACTTCATTGTTTGTACGAAGTGCGTTGGAATAGGAGGAAACTTTTTTAATATTTCTATTTATCACATTATGATAAAAAATACCTTAGAAGAGTGGCTCGGTCACGCCAATCCGCGTTTCTGCGATATGTTCTTGCAACTCCACTTCCAGCCAGCACTGCTAAGCCGAAAACCAGAAACGCTTTGGTGCCCGGCTTTGAGCACCACATTAATTGCACCCCATATGCCGTTATCATAACACTGCCAACACTGTTAGGAAAAATTTACATTATTTATAGAATTCAATGCTTATTTATTTTAACAATATTTATTTGTCTAATATATTTTTTTTAAATCTATCTAAATTTAAATTACATATTTTGTAATAAACCTAATCCACGCGGCATGGTGCCAAGAACACTAGCTGCATTACCTCACTAAATAGTTATGCTTAACCTTTGAGCGAGAAAAGAACCAGCTAGCCAGCAGCCGAAGCCTAGGACATAAACTTTTAAAAAAATTTGATGTGCGGAATCCCACGGAACTAAAGTTTCAACAGCAAATGGCACAAATACATAATCTAAAAATGAAGACTCATGTTTGCGCCATTTACTTACTTCAGCTGCCTCCGATGCCGCCTCGGCCCTGACCGAAGTACCCCCTAGATGAGAAGCAGCCAAAGTGTCTACACAAGTTGCCAATGCTTCTTTGAATTAAAAAATTAATTTCGTTGGACTTTTTTAGGTTCGATGATATCCTCTTGTATTTACACGATTACACATTACTAAATGAAACTATTTTCACGGAGATATCGCTTTTTAATTCTTAGAATTAGGGCTGGGTCCATCTATCTTACATCAGCTCGGGATCCTATCACCAATAAAATAAAATCTAGGTCCAAATGAACCACTGCTGCAAGTCATGAAATATTTAGCAGTACTTTGTGCTTAAATTGAAAAAAAAAATTTATAAAAAAATCTATGGAGATGAATGAACACAAACTTCCGGCGCTGCGGGACTCGAAGCAGCATCGTCGGTTTCGTGCCCAGGCGTTTTACCAACAAAGCTAAGCAGCCGATGGTCTCACGGCACAAAAGTAACAAGTCCATTTTGATATTAACGAAAAACATAACCGATGTCAAATATCTCGCTCCGTATTCATTTTATAATTGATTTTCTGGAGCTCATATAGTACGGCCGGGGCGTTCATAGAATAAAAACAACTTAAGCTAAAAGATTATTATCCTGCGCAGTGCCGTTACAAAGGACTGATCCCTTCAGGCCACAGACGATACTCTTTATGAACGCGCTAGGGTAGCAGATGGTGCAGCAAAAGAAAATCTAATTTGTTACCATAAGCACACGTTTTGGATAGGTTAAATATTCAAAATAAACAAAATACGAAGACAAAACATAGAAATAAGTTAGAAATTTTATCTGGTCACTTAATTTAAATTGTCAGCGTTGTCTTAAGCATTTCTAAAATACCTGGGTATGTACAAGACCCGTTCAGCTATTACAAAGCCGACGGTGATGAGCAAATTGCTCGCCGGCACAAACGGTATGATTAGCAGCAATACTCCAATAACAGCCGGTGTATGTCGATGTATCTAAAAAGAAGAAGAAAATTTAAAAAAATTCAATTGTAGTGTTAGTTCTCTGTGTAAACACGGCACAGTTTTGAAAGGATAGGCTCGCCACGGCATTAGTGAAGACTAGCATGAAGGGTAAGTATTATATTTTTTCAGTTCATCTGATGAGTATGGTCCAATGGTTTCAAAGGGCAGCGGTAATAACTCTAATGGATATCAATAATAACTCTTTCACAAATTTGATAACCACTGCTAAGTTCCTATTTTTATATGAAACTACAAATATTATTACTAACGGTAAAGAGACAAAACCTTTGATTTAAATTTAATTTAATAATTAAAATATGTAGAAAAAGTATGAAAATGTTGTGGCCGCTGCGGGAACCGAACCCACGTACTTTTCGTAATTTTTCTACATATTTTAATGTTCAATCTTAATTGCAGAGATTAGAAATATAAAAAAAATTATTTTTAATTTAATAAGTAAAATACCTATTAAAAAGAAGATAAATGATAAAGTATACGATCCTTGTACCTCCATGTCAGCTATGCAGCGATAACACAACAAGAACAATGCGCCAAAAGCAGCGCAAGTGAGAAGGTTTCTGGGGTCCCATCCGCTCGTGATAAGGGGCACCGACCCCATTTGCCAATCGTGACTGAGGCTCCAAGGGCACAGGAGCAGCCACCAGTTGAATGCCGCCAGATAGCAGAAGGTCATTAGTCTAAAATTATGATGACTCCATACAACTTTGTCTCGTTAACTGTGTTCGTTTAAGACTTAAATTATTAACTATAAGCTACATTCAAATTTAATGAATTTCGGATCACCTCACAAAGAAACTGGGATGGAAAGCAGCAGGGTTGTCTTGCGGGGAGAAGGATGGCCAAGTGCCCTGCAGCAGTGACAGTCGAAGACAAATCAGTAATGCCAGAGACACGGTCACTTTAAACGTTCTCACTGAGAGTCCTGCGCATTTCTTCTCAATTTTCCACGAACTGATCGACCTGAGTATATAAAAAAGTGAATAAGTAAAAAATGTCATTAACACTCTTTAGGTCAGTAACGATAATGACATCAATACATTTTATATCATGTATGCTAATTTTTCCTTCACTAATGTGTGTTATCAATAAAAAAAATTGATATTCAACTGCGCTCTGGTAAGAGTGTGACTTCTACACCATAACCGAAAATAGCAGCCGCTAGCAGGGCAGTCCACCACGCGACACTACTGCGGACTGGCGGACTTCACAAATCTTCGAAATATTTTTGTTGTTGTTTCGGAAATATGCTGGTTTCCACATGACTTTTTCCTTTACTGCTGAGCACGTGATGAGTCGGCACTTAAAATTAATAAATTCTTTGACCGGCTTGGCACCGGGTTTCGAACTCGGGTTTCTCGAGTAAAATGAATTAAAAGCGGGCGCGCGGACACAGCTATCACGGCTCTTAATAATAGCTTGCTAGTTGCATACTTCTTTACTTCTCAAGGGAATGAAAGGTCACAATTTTTTGGTGCAAGCAATGTACCGTGTATTTTTCTGCACTCCATTTAGACTATGTACTACAGTAATTTTCTTAAATATTACCCTACGAGCACTTCGCCCGTGACGTCGTCCGCGAAAATTGTGATAGCTTGTCTAATTTGCATGATATAAATATAATTCATATACAATAACCTTCCACGAAACACGCTCTGCATCTTATGGTATAAGTATTATTTTTATTATGGTATAAATATAACCGAACGAAAAATTCACCTCTCCATTTATTATTACATATAAAGATAGATTTTATCACGCTCAACAATAAGCTATTTTCGTCTTTTAATAAGACCCAACGTGTGTTATTTCACAAACACATTTTATCACGAAAGGAAGCCGTAAGATGGAGAAAACATGCAGACCAATGGAAAAAAAAAGAAACTTTAAGACATTTTCAACAATGCCTTTTAGAAAGCTTCTAACGGGGGAATTTTCATTAGAAAATGTGTGTTACAAAAGAAATCCAAGTGAATAAGCAATGTACTTTAATTTTCAAGATTCAGTTCAAACTGGTTTTATTTGAAACCTTGCGGCTTGTTTCACTTCAGAAAAGTTTTTAGTTTCAACACAAATTATTATTTTTCAAGCTCTTTCTCTTGTCATCTCGTCACGACAAGAAACCTTTCTCGTATGGCTTTATCTTTCCAAAATCAACTGAGAACTAATAGTACTAATGTAAGCGCACCCATTATCACCAGTTTAAGCTAAAATTCAACATATGCATATTAATTATATAATTATGTATATAGTGATAACGAGCATTTAGTATATTATAACACAACATTATTTATTACAATGAAAGATTTTACTGAATTAAAAGTAAAGACAACGATGTCGCGACTCAAAGCCCAGTGGCACAGAGAACAATATATTGACTAATCATGCGTTATTTTCTATAATAAAAATAAGTTATTTTATTATAAACATATTTCGTACTAATAACTGATAATAATATAAAATTCACAATTGTATGAAAATTTTATTGTTACCTTTTTACGATGGGCCAACATCTGTAGAAGTCTATAGTGAGATTTAGAAGGAGTATCGTAACGCCTGTCTCCTTTGCCAGCATACTAAGAGCACCAAGAAAGACGCTCAGCCAGACGCATTTCTTACCGCTAGTTGGTCTAAAATTCACAACAATTGTGAGCCTTAAAATTAATTATAGTAAATAAATTATTAGTGAAACGAAAAAAAAAATACATTTAGAAGATATTATGAGGGAGAACGTTTAGTAATATGACATTGACTATTCTGCATCGGCTTTATCTACTATTGGATCTATCTAGTATTGCTTCGTTCAAGGACGTTCATAATTAATTCTTTTGAATTTAAAATAAAAGGAAAATTGGAAATAAAGGCGTTCATTTACCTGTGGTAGACGAGAAGAGAAGATAGAAAAAATATGCAAGCCAATACATCGGCTCGTCCTACCACTCCTGCTACCTATTAAAGAAGAGAAGAAACGATATTGAGCAGATAAAATCACTGCAATGTTTTAATTATTAGGTAACAAAAAGACTTGTTGCGTCACGGGGATTTAATAAAACTCGACACTCAATATAATATTAAATATGATCACATTTTAATATTAAATATTGTCAGTAAAACACTCAAAATAATATTTAATATTTTGAGTGTTTTACTGACAAATTCAAAATGTATTGTGTGTCTAACTGAAATAGTTTGTTAATAATCGACATGTTTGGTGTTTGCTATAACTCAGAGTTATACTTTACGAATATCGATGTGGGAAAAGTGAATCCCACAGCGCATTCGCAACTTTTCTTTTTTATGTAAGAATATGACAAACAAGGTGGCTGTTGTTAAACCCGATGTTAAGTGATAAACGCCACCCATCGACATTTGCAACATCCATAGGATTGCAGAGGCGTTTTAATAAAGAGGACCCCGAAAACCTCACTCACCAGGCGAAACGCAGAAGTATAACACTTCCACTTCACGCAAGTCTTCTGTGAGATCGTGGTACGTACCCTGAGGGACCTAAAGATTATAGTAGCTTTTTCTTTTCCCTCCTGGCTATTGTGCCAATTTTTTGATTCCTCCTGGTACTTCCGCGTCATACTTTACGGTTGCGGATTGTCTCTTTTGTTGTGTTTCCGGCCTTCATGTCATTTTCTGTTGTTTATCCGTCTTCTGTATTCATTATTCCTATAGTAAGATTGTCATTATCCCAAGTTATCACAGCGAAGACTATTACGTGACCCTACCACAGTTAAAGTGTTGTCTGCAAAATCTGTGGTATTTTGAGTGTCCATGGATCGCTTGAAAATAAAAATCCACGTCTCCCCAATTTAACTTTCAACTTAGCTAATCCTGTCTACCATGTTAAGGATGAAATATCTCGGATTTTAATTATATCTGATATATTCATTACCGCTTCCGTGTGTACCGGATGCACGGCAAACAGAAGAGCTGCTAGTGCAGCGAACGGCCTTTGCAGGCGTGCTATCGTCACGCAGGCCCTGGCGACTAGAGCGCAACACGCGGCGTGTAGAGAGACGTTGCACACGTGCCACCACCACGGCCGCAGGCCTGCCAGCGCGTGGTTGAGCCTAAAACAAAAAAACTGTTTAATCATCGCTGTTTCTATGTTTTGCTTCGATGTACATAAATATCACTGGGTCACCACTTTTAAATTTATGTGGCTACTAACATTAAATTAAAAGTGTGCACGTGAAATTTAATATTTCAACATTTTTATGTGAACAGTTCTCAAAAGAGCAGGAGGGCCACCTGATGTTAAGTGATCACCACCGCCTATGTACATCTACAACATCCGGGGACTTGAAGATGCAGAAGATCAAGTCAAGAAAATATTATTAAATTACTTATTTAAAGAAACTAAATTAATTTTACGTAAGTTGACTTAGCTAGTTCACCGCGGCCGCCTCCTTCAAAGTAAATGGACCCCAACGCTTTCTTGTGATTAATACAATAGGAGTACGTTCGTTGTAGTTTTTGTGCAAATCAATTATTTCAGGAGTTAAACATATTTATTATTAAAGAAAATTGCGTCGTAATGAACATATAAAATATAAGTTTTAATCTAGTAAACTCGAAAAATAGCGGCATTAATAATAAAACCTTAGTTCGAATGAACATGGAAGAAATAATAAATGCAAATACAAATTAAACATAAGTGCGCAGCATGTAATTGCATGCACCGTACTAATTGACTATATTTCCTCAGTTCACGCGATATCAGGTTAACTTATTTAAGTTATATTTAAAACTAGTAGTATTACAAATTAATCTGTTGTTGTCTGGTGGAACGGAATAATGATGACCTTTTTTTTCTGTTACTTATGTAGATATTCGGATTTTGTCGCAAATCCCCATAAATCTATATATATATATGTATATATAAGAATCAAAACTTCTAATTATAAACTAGAAGTTTCGATTCTTTGCAGCATTCATGATCGCGAAATGAAGAGGCGTCAGACGTCCCAAGAAATAAAAGTCCAAGAAACTCAAATTATTATCTGACAGGAAAACTGACGCGGGCAAATTGAAGTGGCCAAAGGACGATGTCAATTTTTGTATGAGGCAATGGCTTAAGGATGTCCAAAAACAATACATTTTCTTACTGCCTTTTCATTTTGAAATTAAATTATTGTAAAAAAATAATTATAATTATTAGTAGATTGAAAGATACACCTACGTGATACGTAATTGCATTAACATAAAAAAATGTAAAGTTGTGAATTTTTGTGGATAAATCGCTCCTCCCACCGAATAATATGGTAATGTGTTATAACGATACTTTGGGTTTTATTGCATATTCGTCATGTAGACATCCTTTTACATCTTGTAAATTTTTTTCACATTTTTCCTGTGAGTAATTTTGAAACTAGCATTTATATAATAACCATATCCTTATTATTCCGTTACAGGCTTAGTATAATTATTTACATGAATAAAATCGCTACTGGTGATTACTACTTGCACTACAAACAAGGTTTTAAATGTTGACTATAACGATATTATTCGAGTAAAAAAGAGCAAACTCGAGTTCTAGTAAAGTATTCTGACAATACTATTCCTGTAGTAATATTATTTGAAAAATATGGTAATGTTGGTTAACATTTAATTGTAAAAAAAAAATACAGTTATGACTTTTGCAAAAGTTTATCGGGGCGTTCTTTACACTCAAATTAAGATTGCTGTATTCTTTATTACCACGAGCCACAAGTAATACGCATCGCTTTCTTTTTTTCTTAAGATAAAGAAAGGGATAGAGCAATACCGAGTACTCGGTGCTGGTTAATCGCCGTGTTTGTTTACTTTAAATCAGTACCAAAAAATATTTAGGAAGTGAAGTGATGCGCTCTCAGTATCAATATTATAATAAGTACTTACTTACATAATTATCGAGTTCTTTTTGTATTTCACATTAATATTGTGTTTAGTGTGATTTTGAATACGATAAAATCACAAAGAATATGAAAAAGACAGTTTTGAAAAACCCCCTAGGCAAATTCTGGATTTACTGAAATTTCCTAAAGGTAAGTACCTATAAGATTTATATACTTACGTATCTATATGCTTACGTACTGCTTGGCTAATAGAACTATGAACCTACCTAAAATGACCGTGGCTCGTGTGCCTTTGAGAAGGTTTTAGAGGTAACTAACTCTAATCCGTTGCCAACCATGTGAAGAGGGAGATACCTAGTTGTTGTACATGAAGACTAGGTATTCATCATTATTATCATTTCAGCCGGTTGATGGCCAGTACTGGGCATAGGCCCAATCTAGTTTCTAAATTGGTGGATTATCGCCTCAGCAATTAAAAAAAAAATATTCAGTTAATACCTAATTTATACTGTCCCTCTACTTAATTTTTTTTTTCAGACATCCAGCCATCCACTTTATGTGCACTGACTAAAGATGTCGTAATTACTGAATTTCTTCGGACAATTCTTCTTCTTCTGTACGTGACGATGACAGATCATATCTTTTCAGCCCAGACCTTAGCCACTTCAACAGCACAATTTGTTTTCTTTATTTTTTACGTGTGAAAAGTTGCCAAACGAGCAGACGGTTCACCTGATGTTAAGTGAGTACCGCCGCCCATGGACATCTACTACACCCGAGGGTTTGCAGATGCGTTGACAACCTTTTTGGAAATTGGGCTCCGGCCACCTCACTCACCAGACGAAACGCGAAAGTATTTATCACACTTCCACTTTAAGCCGGTCTTCTGTGAGGTCGTGGTACTTACCCGGACGAGCCTGCCCATTCGTGCAACAGCCGAGGCTGCTGCGAGGCCCTAACACCGTAAAACCGTACCGTTGTGGCATCCATCAGATCCTGCTGCGAACAGGTAAAAGAGCAGGCAGGACAGGACATCAGATGGGCCATAGACTGCACTGCTCCACACATGCAGTCCAGTCTGAGTTTTCTGAGAGTCCCCACCTGAACATATTTTCCTTGCTTCGGCCAACCTGAGTCCGAAGTCTAATTAAAGACTTCCAGGTTGGCCAAGGTAGTCTATGACCAGCTGGAAGACTCTCAGAAAGCGGGACAAAGAGATCCGGAAGCGGAGTTTGAACACGCCACATGCTGCATCTCGCTTGAGAGGGCTCGGTTGTGAGGGGGACAACATATTTTAAAAAACTTTTTAGACTTTTCAACCTTCGCGGTGGGAGCTCATGCACATGTAGGGGGTGCCGCTTATGGTTCGTAGGCCTTAGCCCTCTCTAGCGAGCTTGCCACGGCATGCTTACAACTGGCAGCGCTATGCCAGCCAGTGGATACAGCAACTTCACCGGGGTTGGCTTCAATTCAGACAATCAATCCGCTTGATATTGAAACAGACTTTAAAAACTCTGTATAATTTACGTGATATGCACTAATGCAATAAATATCAGCAAATAATATTAATATTAGGATTAATATCTGTGTATGCTGTGTGACAGCGATTACTATTGCGCAAGACACGGCTGAGACAAACACTGAAGTAGTTTTTAATTCTAATAATAAAAAATTAACTAGGAAACGATGACCAAAAGACTCAAAAATAGCAGCGAATCTTATGAAGGTGCACGTTCAAAAAAACTGTATGCTACTAAAGACATCGGTCCTTCATGCTCATGCAAAAAGATTGTGGCATAAAATTTTCTATGGAGCAACTACAGGCGATATTTGACACTTTTTTAAAGACTGAAAGATCATGAACTCCAATGGCAATATATCGTGAGACACGTTCAAGCACAACCTGTAAAACGCATCACTTTAGAAAGAAAAAATAACAGGATACATACCATTTAATATTATTTTATGCAGGACCATGCATCTATTCAAGTTTGTATTTTGTATTTTTATACTACGTATTACAGAACAGGTAGTTTTACAGCTCAAGAGAAAATAGCGCAGGACGAGAGCCTAATACGCAGAGGACAGAGGAACTCATTACAAAAGACCTCATAGGATGTCCGTCAAAAAAATATAATGACACATATACACACAGATGGAAACAGCTCATTCTATCTGTTGAATCTCATAATACACGTAAGAGATCCAAGCGCCAATATTTATCTGAACAACTACACCTTGCTAAAATGTATCGACTGTATACCGTATGGTTTCTAAATCAACAATATACACCAGAACTATTTGCATCCAAACGCCAAAACGAATCAGTATTTAGCACACAATATAATTACACATTTTTCAAACCAAAAAAGATCTATGCGGAACGTGCTCGTTGTATGAATAAGCTGAGAAAGCTAAATTCTAATAGAAATATAAACAGTATTTACTACGAAAGACTAAAGTACGCCAACTAAAGAAATAGCGACCTATTTCTTCATCTCAACAGACAAGACTTGACTTTGAGTCCACTGCTGTAAATAGGCCCCCCCATAGACTGTCACGAAGTACAACCCTGAACCACCTGCATCTATCGACTTGCCGCACATTTGCACAGGTCGTCACTCTATCTAGTGGATCGTCTTGCACTGCGATGCCCAGTACGAGGCTGCCACCTCAAGAACCCTTCTTCCCCATCGGTTATCGGTTCTACGAGCTATATGGCCCGGTTCCGTAGGTCATCACTGGCAACAAACATTGATTGAAGACTTTTGTCTTCAAACATTGAGTGATATTAGACGAGAAGATATGCCGAAGTTTCCCAAGACTATCTGTACACGTGTGCGGGAAGTCGAAGGATGCAGGTGGCTCAGGATCGTGGCAGTCTGTGAGAGGCCTAAGTTCAGTAGTGGACTCAAACAGGCTGCAATGATGATTATGATTCAACCATTTCCTGTCTTTCCCTTAATAAACGGTTTTCTTTCATCAAAAGCCATCGTTTTATTGAGAATCATATTTCAAGTAACTGATATTACTTTGTAGATAATACGATAAGAGAATGGTATTCAAACAAAACTTTAATATGTAACATACATTACATCCGCGAAAAACCACCTTTTAATTTATTACCGTTTATGTTTGGTTACCTTTCATGAAAGAATAAAATTGTGGTATGCCATTATTGTTCATGGCATCTATTTTTTTTTTACACGAATAATATCGTAATATTATTTTGCAAATAAATGTTTTGTCTAGCATTTATAGTAAAAAATGTTTTCTATAATAACTTTATTTTAAGAAAGTACAAAATGAATCACTTTGTTTAAAATGATTTAATAAAAAATTACCTTTCATTTGATATATAAATCATCCTCATAAGTTAGACAATCTTTAAAATAATCGTCAAAAAACACTCTTTTATTTTTCCTGTAAAATTTTAATTTATCGATAACGATATTATTCGGTGAGGGGAGCGAAATGACCAAAAACTTTCGGCGCTGCTTGACTCGAACCTGCATTTTTGGTTTCGCGCCAAGTTAAAAATATTAAAAAATATTATGCGGATGATTTAACTTATTTTCTAAAGCAAATAACCAAGAATTTTTCAAACAGTATTATCCAAAATGTTGAACTTTATTTATTTAGGAACATATCATTAGTTACATTTGATCACTGTGTCGTTCTCCGTTACTAAAGAATTTTAGCGTAAATACAGACTAACAACATTTTTCATTTTAAAATAATATCGATAGTAAAATTCTGTTTTAACCTTAAAGACTAGGAGCGGCCAATATAGTGTGTGTTTTTTTTAATTTCGTTAGCCAGGTCAATGCAAAGTGTTATGGGTTAATGTATAATAATAATATTTAAAATTTTAATATTAATTTCGATAAAATCCATGAAGAACATTTAATGTAGTTCGACGCGTCCCACTTAAATGGGAAGTCATATTCGTTCATCGTCAAAGAACAAGAAAAGCTGAGAAAATGACTTCGTACTTTACTTCGTGCTTACTTACCCTGCGACATTTTTGATGAATGGAACACTACTAGATGGTGACAGTAGAACGAAGTTGTATTGAAATACACTTGGAACTTGCTAAAGCATCAGTATTCTAAATTCGTTTACGTATGTTTGAGAATAGGGTGTTTTGTCCTTAAAATAATTCGTTCCTGCCGAACTACATTTATTCATGCATATATACATAAATAAGAATAAAATAAGAATAACTTAGGTTTTACATAAGGTTAACTATTACGGCGCATTTGAAGAAATTTGATTTTTG